GCCAACGCGTACAGACCTCAAACATTAAACGCCAACGTGTAGGCCAATGTGTGCAGACACTAAGCATTGATGTTCGTCTTTCGCAATTCTCGCTTCAATAGTAACATGTACAGATGCCCAGCCGTCATATATCCCCAACGAACATCAAAACACCAAAATGAACATCAACCGGTACAATGCCAAAATGAACATTTAAAATCATTACAAAAAATGAATCTCTTCAACCACCAACATCAAATTAAAAAACCCCAAAATAGACTAATATCACTCTTCACATTTCACAAAACAAAAAGATACAATGCAGCCTCTCAAAATCCTACAAAACCAAAACATACACAACCCTTTAACACATGCCCAAGCGTAGCACGGAAGAAAATTAAATCATAAACCAAACTCTCCGTTTTCAACCATCGCATCAATAACATTATGACAACGAGCCCTAATAACAAGCCCGTGCGTAGCACGGGGTAGAAAACTAGTCGATTATTGAAGGCTGCAGAATTTCTGGGGAAGCTGACAGTCGATTATTTGGAAAGGATAATCTATTATTGATCCCTGCAGGTGTTTCCAATGGGACTGATAATCTACAGCCTAGATTTGTCTAATCTCTACGAAATTAAAATTGGGCCGTAGATAGGGTTGTGTGGCCTGGATTTAATTGTTTTTTTGTGAAACAAAATTGGGCCGTAGATTTCAGGGCTGTGGTGGGAAAATTGGATTGATTTATTGACTGTACTTTTATATATATAATAGATAGATTTTAATTTCATGTTTACAATTCACATGGTCAAATTTTAATCATGGTCTTTACTTATTCTTGTTACCTATTTGAGAAAATAATAGTCTTATCACCTCGATTTGTAGAACTTTAAATTTAGTTTATAAATACATAAATTTTATTTTTTTATGTCATATCATTTTTAAATAAATTAAATTGAAAATGATTTAGAGAATGCTATCCCTATTACCATCTCTTCAACTCCAAAGCAATTGGAAAAAATTTCAATCCATCCCTGCAGTTAGCCTACAATTTTAGGACGGATGGAAGGATACTAGGAGAGAAGCATGCTACACACCCCAAGTTTGACCATGTGTTTCATAGATAATTGCATAGATAATTGCATAGATAATTGTTGTTTGGTTGTATTTTTTTATTATTCACAAAGTTAAACTTTAATCATTTAATAAAATAAAATGGTCATATTGCTTTTATTTTAGAATAACTTTTTATGTAATTTTTAAATATATGAATTTTATTCTTTAATTTTGCCACAAATTTTATATAAAATTATTTAAAAATATTTCTTATCAAATATCTTAAACAACATGCAAAATGGGACGGAGGGAGTACATATTCGTGAAATTTAGTATATGTCAATAGATTTGAACATTAGGAGAAGATAGAAACTTGACAAGTTGTCATCAATTCTTACTCCTAAGACTACACCATATATGAAACCACTAAACCATGGCAAGTTGAGCAAGAGTGTTTTGACTATTAGCTTGTTATCATTAGTTTATTCTTATTACTTCATATTTTCATGTGTTCATTCCATCCCAACTTAAATTGCTTGTTTCAATTTATGATATTTGACTAAACTTATTTTTAATATAATTTATTTGAGAATTGAGTTGAAATTAAAAGATAAAATTTAATATTTAAAAATTACATCAAAAATTCTACACAAGAGGTATCATTCGTATATTATTTTTATTAAATGATTAGCAAAAATAGAAAAAGAAAAGAGTAAATTCTATAATTGATCCTTTATAACAGGGGGTTTCCCTAATTAGTCCTCTATTATCAAATATTATCCAAGTGGTCCTTTTTTTATGAGTATCTTTCCACAAATAGTCCTTTTTTTATCTTCTATCATGTTGGTGCTAATTTGAGAGCTAAAAGTGTAATTTCACAATGATAATATATCTTTTTTGTCATACACAATTTCAAAGGCTGTTTTGTTTGCGTCGTTTGTGAATTACAGTCGCTTTCTACTACAACTATAGTATACGAATGTGGTCTTTCGTCAGAATCCTAGCCCACAACCATAATCATTATTTTTCTGTTATCCACTTAACCAATATCAGAACATGTCACTAAACATAATGTTGATGTTAAATTATACTTTTAGCCTTTAAATTAACACCAACACGACAAAAAATCAAAAAAGGACCATTTGTGGAGGTACCCTTAAAAAAGGACTACGGGGGTAATATTTGATAATAAAGGACTAAATATGGAAACCCCCTATTATAAAGGACCAATTATAGAATTTACTCAAAAGAAAATGAATGATCTTGTAAATAGTACTCAGTTGTAAACATGTAACTTAATTTTGAACAAATTCAGTACTACGTGTTACTTGATCCTTTTGGAATTGCATCAGATTTTAAAAATATCATATCAGAAGATGATTCTTATTGGAGTATATGGTGAGATGTAGTGGTGGATATGTGTGTGGGTTTGGTCCGTCGATCACCATATGGCCACACGTAGTGGGCCTTGACCTCAAGGCGTGCCCTTTTCTTCATGCAACCCTCACCATGTTACCATTCATGTGCTGCGGTGTGGCCTCTTGCTGGATGATGGCCATCCAGCCGTGATGGAGGGTTTTTCCTTTTATTTTCTTTTTCTTTTTTTAACTAATGAAAAAAAATTACATTTTTATCTCACCAGTTAATTTTGTCAAGCCTACTTTTCAAGCTCTATATAACACTACTCACTCACTTACCAAGTGTTTGCGACGACACCTCATCAAATCTT